ATATTATTACCAGTCTTTTTTAATGAAACGTGTATAAAAGAGGGATTGTTTCCTAAATAGACAATTATATATATATATATATATATATATATATATATATATATATATATATATATACACTTGCACTATTCTGTACATATATTAGACATGAGCAGATCTCTTATTTTCATAACTAAAACATTAAAAGCCAGTGCTTCACTTTCACTTTATTTTATGTAAGAAGACTATCCATGCTTTCGTAATTAAAACATGTTTGCCTTTTCTCGTACTAATTAACAACACGTAAATACTAAAACTTCGGCCGGAGGTGTTTTTCCTCATGGGAAATTTTTGGTTGGAGAAAATTAAATGGGAGCGAGGAATTAACCTGCAGTAACTCTCAAATAAAAACTAATCACAGAGTACTTATTTCACCATAAGTAACAAGACTATAATATAGATAAAAAAAGCATTTTACTTGATTGTATTGTTTCAGTATATTGAAATTCCGAACAGAAAGTGGCGGTAGACAACAACAGCTATTACTACAACAACGCCAATGAACTTACACTTGGTTAGAAGAAAAAAATATACACTTCAAATCGGAAACAAGAAGAAAGAATGAAAAAAAAGTGAAATGACAGTATATACAACAATATACCCATCATGGAATCATCTATATATTTTTCTTAGTCTTGATACCAAAATGATAGACTCGAAGAAAAGAAAATTAAATTCATATGAAATATATCAGGTATTGTTTTTAAGAACGAACCCGCATTTCATGAGTTTTCTGTGTTCTATATTACGCCGCATTGTTTTAACTGTTACGCATTGCGAGGTTTTTTTTGTTTCTCTTTCCTGTTGTCAAATTTTCGTTATGTTGTTTGGTATTCTAAGTTTAGGCTTAGTAGACTTTTTATTCTCTAGCCTGCCTCCCCCAATCACTTCAAGAAATGTCAAAATAATGTTAACGCTAAAAGCTTACCATGCATGAGGCAAAGTGGAAAAATCCGAATGCTGCAATGTATTCAAGTATACAATTCTTGTATCTTTATACAAAGAAATCGGAACAGAGACAACAGTAATGAAAAATAAAATCAATAATAATATATCTATATATGATGGTACGTGTATAATAGTAAAATTGTGTTTCCGTAATTGTTAGCGAACTTAGAACAATGTCAAAGCCACGGTATCAGAAATTGGAGAGATGGAAATACTTGGTACGTTTTGTTCTGTTAAGAGCCAGTTACTCTGCTAATATCAGGAATGGACTGATCCCTTCATGGCAAGTATTCTACAGAGGGTAAAGAAGATTATACTATTGTAGTGACTTGTCTAGCTGAGTATTGATTACTACTATCACGACTGATTTGACCGAGTCAATTATTGTTTTAAACAAGTCAGGTCCTTGGGTTATTTGATATTGGAATATTTTAGAAGATTTTCCGCCAATAGAGTTACAGTTTAAATAACTAGATAAATGATCTGAGCAAGTAAATATATGAACAAATAATAATAATAAGAAGAAGAAGAAAAAGAAGAAGAAGAAAAAGAAGAAGAAGAAAAAGAAAAAGGTTTTTCTCGCATGAGGCCCTCTTTAACTCAATCATCCGTCCTTGCATGGAATACTGCTGCTATACATAGTCTGGTACCCGCGCTGTACGTCTCGAGATCCTCGACAAAATCCAGAGACGGATATGCAGTGTGTTGGGTCCTGATCTGGCATCTCGTCTACAGTCATTCTCGCACAGACGTGTTGTGGCTTCCCTCTGTCACTTCTAAAGGTACTTTCACGGCAACTGCTCCGACGAACTAATTACGCTCGTTCCCAGACTGCATGAATTTAAGCGTACTACTAGATTGGCATCTCGGTCCCACTCTTTCACTGTCGAAACGTAGCCGTTTCTTCTACTCCAACATTTTAGCACTTCTTGTCTGTGGAACTCCCTTCCTCTTGCTTGCCTCCCTGATAACCATCCTCTTCAAATAGGGTAATGCCAGTTGACATCTTCTGATGCCTTGATCTTGTTCCCCTTCCTTCAATTTATCCTTTACTCAAACACGTCTTTTTAATCTTGCTCTTACCCTCTGTAAAACCTTACGTACTAAAACCTTTTCTGGGGTGAAATACTTAAAAAAAATAATAATAATAACATTGAAGAAATAAATCGAAATGATTTTCTGCTCAGCACAAAAGCCGTCTTTAAGAATACTTTCATGGCAATTGTTCTGACAAAATTACCTCTATGGTACCTAGACTTGTAAAAGTACTAGATTGGCGACAAGGACTTATAATTTTACAGCGGAAAGGCGAGATGTAACCGTAAGTTCTATGTTAACAGTTTCTTCTATCATAGATTTCGCTGTGTGGAACTCTTCCGGCCTCTGGCTTCCAAGTCAAGTTGAACTCTTTTTTTGATTTCACTCCAAGGAAGGCTGGAATGCCACTAGTTCGCAGGGGGCTACAGGAAGGGAACATGTCTAATGGTGTAGAACCATAGAAAGATAAGACGGACTCGGATATAAGCTTAAATACTATATTCCTGGAAACGTAGTACAAAGGTAAATATGGACTGGAGAGTACTTTCTCTCACTGGTGTCCTGACTCACTCATTCACTCACTCTATGGCTACTATTCGGTGACCCTCACTTGGGGACTCCCTTTACTGTAGCCATATTATATAGGTGTGGAAGAGTTCATTTGTAGGTAGGTCCCCATAATAACATGATAGAAATGAATGATTATATGATAGATTGAGGAAAAGTCAAAAGATTCTAGAACAGGATTCAAGAAATTAGAAGATGGCGATTGAAGTTGTATTTATATTTTTAAAGATTGTAATCATGGAAGCAAGTAAAGGGAAAAAAGTTCCACAGTCAGGAAGTGTGAGAAAAGAAACTGTAGGAGTAGAAATGGCGTATGTATTTAACTATGTCAACACTAAAAGTTTGGGGCCTAGAGGCAAATCTAGTGGCACGTTTAAATTCATATATTCGGGGCACCATGGAATAAAGCTCGTTTGAGCAGTTCCTATGGAAATATTTGTAGAAAAGACAGAGGGAATCCCCGTCGGCGAGAATGCGAATGAAGTCGTGATGCCATGTCAGGATCAATAATATTGCAGATCCTTTATTAGAATTAAAACTTCAAAAATTAATTGTAATATAAATCGTTATCATCTGTCTCCTTATTCTTTTATGATTCTCTCTCCGTAATAAAATTTCCATTTGATTTTTCAGATATTCTCAAACACTCACTCGTCTTAGTGGCATTATCGAAACGATTAAAACAAATAAACCAAAGAAAAGTTCTCCTCTATTGATTCACAGCATATTCACGCTTGTGAAAACTGCGCGGTGATGCTACTGAACACGGATAACACATTTACACCGGTTGCACTCATCTGGAACAATAGGAGCACAAATGATATCCTCACGGAAATATACCTCAGAATATACTGTGATCTTGGCATGTTTCTTCGAGTGCGGATATAATGGTACGTGAATTTACATACATCAGTGGCTGAGGAAGATAAAGAGATTCTCATGGGCGATACGACCATCTTGACAGATAAGCGTTTTATAAGCTCTCTCCCTGGCATCACAGTTGTGAACAAGAGAAACCATAAATGGATCCTGGGAGAAGTTGAGGTAACTTTGGATAATAACATTGTGAAACTGGAAGAGGCAAAACGACAAAACCTGGCCATGCAAATCAAGGAATCATATCTAGCAAGCACCTCAAGTAATCCCTTTTGCGTTTGGCGCACTCAGGATTGTTTCTATGTGCCTCTTTGTCTCGCATGTCGCCTGAGAGATACTTAACAACGTCGGAAATGTGCAACACTGCTAGGAACACATCACATGTTAAGAAAAGTCGTGTGTCCCTAAGATGCTAGTAGGAGCTGTGATATGACCATCATCTCTCAGCTGAGAGGAAAGCAAACAAATATTAATAAGAATAATAAAATTATCAAGAGAAATATTAATAAATAATATTAAAAGTGTAAGAAATTCTAACAATATGTTTTAATAAGTAATTGTAATAAAAAATAATAAATGTAATAATTACGACAAGAAAATAATAATATAAAAATATTAACAATACTATGAAATAATAAAGAAAAGTAATAAACATATCATAAATAAGAAAAAAATAAGATATGATACCAATGATAATAATAAGCACTACAAAATGAAAATTATAATAATGTTAAGTAATAAAAAAATAAAGTTAAGAAATATTAATAGCAATGATAATAGATTGAGCTAATATCTGCACTGGAAAATATGCAACTTTTACAGGAAGGCAACTGCAAGAAACTGGTACGAACACCATCCTGATTCGGCTACAGAGATAGGACCTGTAACAATTTTACAATACACATAGAAGGAACAATCAAATGTAATCTCCTAATCATCGCGATCAAAGGCCATATGAACAGAATGTGCTTTCTTTTTGACAAGACAGGCACGTTGTAATGTACTTTTGAATATCCTTTAAAACTATCAAAATGCAAGGATCTTGAAGTGGAAATGAGGTAAACAAGGATATCGCTAATTCCAGTTGTAGTTGGAACACTCGGATTGATTGGAAAAGGTTCTGAGAGACTCATTGAAGAGATTTCTGGTAGCCCATGGCTTAAAGTAATAAAAAAATTGTATTCACAATATATCACGAGAGCTTTAGCTATGAAAAACGTGTGTAATCTTTGTTTTATTTTTTTAATTTTTTTTTATTTTTTTAATACCAAAAATGATCAGTAGAATATGTCAGGAAAACATTTCTGACCTTAGGGTTTCTGGTTCGCACGCGGAAGGAAATGTATATACAACAGAAATCCAACGGAAGAAGAAGAAGAGGAAGAAGAAGAATTCAGTGTCGACACAAATATAATGTGAAATATTTGTGATATTGTGAAAAAAAAAATGAAGTAAAGGACAACTGAATCACGAATGAATATGCTACAATGATGAGAAAATATGAAAAAAAGAACGGGCTATAAGCAAAATCTATGATATATCACTGGCGAAAAACCGTGGACATGAGTACGCAGAGGCAACCTAGTCCCACGCAGTATAGAATATGGTCATCGGAATATACTACGACAAAGCAAAGGTTTACAAGATCGGAAAAATGCAAAATGGAAATTGAAACTATCCCTGCAGAGAATGAAATGAAACGGTAAAAACTATTATCAAAAACATAAAAAGTTGACGCCAAAAAAGTACACAGCAGGATTGCAGCAGTTACACTATGGAAATTGTGCAAATAAATTGCATCAAATCAGAAAAAAAAACGTTGTGGGTAAAAAGGACAGACTATCGTGGAAAACAAAATCCCAGCTTCCAGCACACACTTGTCCAAAATGCGAAATATTTTGATCGAGATTCGTCGTTGATACATAAGTGTATTATGTGCATGAAGATATCATGCCTAAAGAATCATTTATTCTTTCATTTTCTTGCTTAATGAGAATCGTTTTATATAGCTACTAGTTACAAGAGATTTCATTATATAAGCATCACAAAGAATCTGTCTATATTTCTGAGATGAGGTATTATGTACACTATTTACATTATTCGGACTATTGTCCTTATCTTTGTCGCCATAGTTATCAGAATGTTTCGGCTTTTGTACACTCCGGCCTTCTTCAGTTGGTTGGAATATCGAATTAAATCCTTTATTTTGCTCACTGAGGTAGACTGTTCTAGTTTCACGTGCCATGTTTAATGGATGTCAGTTATCTCCTGTTGATTCCCTTCTCCAATTTCTCCACTGCTTTACCCGAATATTGAACTCACACTCTTGGACATCCATTAAACATACACGTGGAACTAGAACAGTCTATCCCAGTGAGCGAAATAAAGGGTTCAGTTCGACATTCCCATCACTTGTAGAAGGCCGGAGAGTACAACGAAACGTTGTAATAAATATGGCGACAAAGATGAGGACAATAGTCCGAATAATGTAAATAGTGAACTAGAAGGTATAAAGGTGACTGCTCATCGCTGTTAGAGCGAGAAATCAAGGGCGTGGGTCAATTCATTTAAAGGTGATGTCAACCTTAAACAAATTCACGCCATCGACACTTTTTTATTCTGATTTTCTTTTAAATCCAATTAACACTTGTAAAGCCAAACGGCGATAGAGAATAAATGACGAGAGCAGGTTTGGGTGAAGCTTCTAGTCTTGAACCTGAATGTTGGCGCCGAATTTAGTCATAAACGCTATCTTCGTAAAGTAAGTGACTAGCAAAGATGAAATTAAATTATTAGGTACAAGATAGAGCCTACGACGTCGATGTGGTTATTATTACGTTATTTCTAAACATTAATTATTATATTATCATTCTCTTCTGTTTTTATACATTCTTTTCTCTTCAATCTTTTTAAGCTGTTGGGCATTTAATAATCATTGTTTTTGTTTTATTAAATAGTAAGTCTTTCATTTGTCGTCTGCGTTCATTCTTTCCTATTTTCCTTCTGTCTATCAACTTCTTCATTTTTGGCCTCTTTCTTTGTCTTCACCCTTTATTCTTTCATTTCCGTTTTACATTATTCGTATTTTTCCTTCTCCTTTTTGGGTTGGTTTGGTTCGTTTTACGGCATAACAACCTCAATGGGTTATTTAATACCAATCAAATTTTTATTGCTGGTAATTTTTTTTTTTTCAAAAATATATTGCTGGTATTGAAACCTATTTTTATACTTTCATGGAGTTTTCACCACAGTTCAGGGCTTAACTATTTGCCCATATCTGGGACCCTGACAGATGCTACAATCTCTGGTCAGGATGGATCTGGGAACACCAACAATTAAGAGGTGGTTCCACACTTCTGAAAACCACCTGATCAGAGGCCTTGCTGTTGGACGTAGTTTATAGTCTTAACCAGGACACTTTATTTTAGGGAAGTCCCTATTTTAATTCGTTTCATCTGGCTTTCCTCATTTTTTATTCTTCTTTTCCATTTCTCTTAATCTATTCCTTCTTTTGGTTGTTTCTTTCTTTAATTCAATATTTTCTCTTTCCTTTCTTCCCACTTAATTCTTTGTTCTTTATTGCTTACTTTTATATTTAATTCCTAGATTTTTTTTATTTTCATTTCCTCATAATTTTTTTCAAATTTTATTCCCTTTCCTTTTTCTCCCTTTTATTTATTTGTCTGTTTCTTTCTCTATCTAATATAACCCCCTCGCTTTAATTCCTTTTATTTCAATTTCTATTCTTCGTTCTACTAAACATTTTGTCATGTATACCTTTTTCATTCGTTATCGTTTTCTTCTAATTCTTTCCTTCTAATGTATATGTTTATGTTTTTATTTTTTCTAGGTTCCTTCTTTATAATTTCCTTCCATCCCTTCTCCTCCTCTCTCAATTCTCACTTTTTCTTACTCAATTCATCATCACGATTGCCTCATCACAAAACAACTCTTGCCTTTTACAATATTTAGTATTCTTTATGGAATTCTTCATTTTCTAGTATTTAGTTCTCTTCATTCCTCCTCACCCATCTGTTTTCCCATCTTCCTAATATTGAAAATCCTTTTCATTGTATAATGTTTTTTTCATATTTAAGTTTTATTTTCCAAAGTCTTACTATTCAATTCTAGATTGCTCGTTTTGATTTCTTTCATGCTTCAATCATCCTGTCAGCCATTTTGGTATTACTAACATTCTATTCAAATCGTTAAACTACGTGATATTCATAACAAAGTCAGAACAAAATTGGCGACACTCTCGACGATAAAGTAGTAAACGTGCTATTGATATGTTGCCCATGGCACATAGGGTTCGTTTGACTTAAAAAAAATCACCTGCAAAGCGTGACATTCGATGAAAGCATTATATCGCGGACGGGATTTGCAATACGATTGAAACTTTTTTTTTTGTTTTTGCACATGCGCTCTTTTGTACAAAATAAAACTTCCGCCTAAAATAGTCATTCCCGTGGGTATCTTTCAACTCATTAAGAGTATAAGGTTAGTAAACTGGCACAAAATAACCGTGCCGCGGAGAATATAAATTGAAAAAAAAAATTACTTGCTGTACGAAAGAATCACCGGAGGGGGAACTGAAGTACTCTAAATTAATCGTGTCGCAATTTCTATCTGGTAAATTACACCCAAAAGGGAAAATCAATTAAGATAATATCATCATCATCATTTCTATCCTGACTGTTTTAAGGGGACATTAGCGATCATGACTCTAAACAATTCAATGGAAAATGGATTGGCTTGTAAAATTCAAAACGGTCAAAACCTAACTAGTAACGTTCCAAGACCGAAGAGCCGGCTCTGGATTTTCAGCTGTCAAGATGGATGGATCTTTTACAAAGAGTCTCATTACCTTGAACATCTGTTGGAACTAAAGTACTCCTCAGACCTCAAGTGGAACTCAAATATCCGATCTATTGCTAAAACTGCTGGAAGAATACTTGGTTCATTGGAACCTCTGCATTGTACTTGACTTCCTGCCATTATACACTATATTCACAAAAAACAGTTCAAGCCAGAAATAGTGTATTGCTGCCATATCTGGGCTGGAAGTGCCCAGTCTTCACTTGTCTGTCTTAATAAAATTCAAAAGCATCTACGCGTCCTTGTGGGTGATTATCTCTTTCCCATTGACGAAATATCGCAAACCACTTGCTGCACTATAGCTATTTCCATGGCATGCGTTTCGGCGAGTTCCATTCCTCAGTACTTCCACTGCTGACCTTTACAACTGGAAACCGCCATGTGACGTACGCAAGCAGGAATCCTTGACATTCCATTCGTATTCCAATAGTCAGAATTAAGTTCCATTCGGCCATCTTCTTCCCAAGAACTTCTGCTTTGTAGAGAAACTCCTGGTAGGATGTTTTCCCATCCACGATCCATCTTGATCTCTTCAACTCTAGAATTAACCATTAAACATACATAACATTAAAGTTATGAAGTTAAATGTATGCACATACCTCTGCGTGAAAAACCTTTGTGTAGATATGGTCGGCTTCGTAAATGAAGTTTGAGAAGTGTTATACTGTGTCCATTAAGCCAAAGAGGGAGCGATATACACATCCGCATGGTTTGAAAAGAAAAGCATTGCAAAGAATTGATTTGTGATGTATTTTCCTCTAGGCTACTGTGGATTACTACTTTATTTCGAAAGAACACACATATACACGCATTTATATATATATATATATATATATATATATATATATATATATATAATTAGATGCATTCCCAAAACATAGAAGTTGAAAAGATTTATCAATACGTCAGATTATTTATATATATATATATATATATATATATATATATATGTGTGTGTGTGTGTGTGTGTGTGTGTTTAGAATGCAGCCTTAAAATATACGATTCATGCAAGTTTCGAAATCCTTATAACAGGAAACTAAAGACACATACACATCTATCTATCTATCTATCTATCTATCTATTACTGTTCAATATTTATCTACCCCAGCTTTTTCAATATCTGTTTATCCTTAGGCAAAGAATAAGTAATTAATTTTTTAATCATCTATTGACATTATTATGATCATTGTAATTATTATTATTTGCGTATGTTTTATTTCACCTAACAAAATGTAATATTGCTCAATTACTAACTTAATTGTTTAATATGTTATAGTTTTATATATATATATATATATATATATATATATATATATATATATATATATATATATATATATAGTCTTAAGGTGTGCTATATTTATGGAATAAAGTGCTCTATATCAGAGATAGAGCGTGTGTAAATATAAAAGTGAACATAGAAATCAACACCTTTGCGACAGTCTGTTTCATGCTATATGCAATCGTCAGGCCACTAAGTGGACAATACTAACCTGACGATTGCATATAGCATGAAACAGACTGTCGCCTCTAAGTGTTCACTTTATATTCATTTTTTATATATATATATATATATATATATATATATATATATATATATATATATATATATATATGTATGTGCGCGTGCGTAGTTAATAATCTAGTACCTAGAAAAATAGTCAAATAATTACATATAGATCATGTACTGTAAAGGGGTTAAATTAAGAAAAAAATGAAAGTAAAAATTAGTGAAAACTCATGAAGTCACGGAAGAACCGAAATTACTTCACAATACTTCTTTACATTTCATCGCTAATTAAGAATAATAATTAGAGAAACTGAAGGAAAACAAAGAGTATCGTTGCAAAAATACCGAATGCCATGGATTTTACATTTTAAATATAGACAGCTTCAACGTGGATAACGCGCACCATCACGAACGTTGTATTTCAAAGGAAGCAAAGAAAAACAAATGATTTAATATAGAAATGCGTGCAAAACTGAAGGAAAGAAAGAAAAAAAAACCTTTTGATTTTCATAAAAGAATAATAATAATAATAATAAAACAAATAGATGTTTCTCACGATCTCTCGTTGCTTACATGATTGCATTCATTTTTCTTTGGCATAAAAACGCAAACATGTGATAAATGTTTTCAGTAAGCAACACAATTTGTATTCATTTGGTTTGAGCAAAATAGTCATGATATTTCTGTCTGTTCACATATAATTATATTCCTTATGTTGGCATGTTCAAACTAGTGGGTTAGCTAGATTTTGATATATGTAAGTTTACAACTTACGTATGGTTGCAGAAGTGATGTAGAGAGAGATAATAGGAAGATTAACACGTACACACACACATATATATATGTATATATATATATATATATATATATATATATATATATATATATATATATATGTGTGTGTATGTGTGTATATGTATATATATATATATATGTGTATATATATATATATATATATATGAACAAATATAGGATTGGTGTATACGGAATAAATTCAATAATCAACAGTTACTATTCCTAAATAGTGCTCAATACAGAGTAGAGCAAATATAATTATTTATTCGAAAATTATAACATAAATATGGTATAAAATTACAAGATATTTACAGGACACCTCGGATATACAATTGAATTTTTATTTATTTAATAAATTTAAAATTAAACAGTTATGTAATCTCCCCTAGTAATGTATATTAATAATAATAATATCTACCTTTTTTTCGGGATATACTAAAACATATTTCCTTTGAAAGTAAGTTAGATAAAGCGTATGCTATTAATTAAATCCGGAACTCTTTTGTTAAGAACGCTTTTCGGTAGACGTTAAAGTCATAGAAAAGTGGGTAAGCGGAATTTACAGTGAGGCTATCCTAGGAGAATTAGAAGTCCTTCCAGTATTTATTACTGGCAGCCACAAATCTTAACAACATAGGATATATAGATGGCATATTGTTGATAGAAGATAAGGAAAAGAAACTAAAAAACCTACAGAAAATAATTAAGGAAAACGGAAATAAAATATTAAACATCAATTGTAAGAAGACAGACTGTATGGTTTTCAGCACAAGATCCGAAACATTATTTGAAGACATCAAGGTCAATCAGGTCCAACAATTCAAATATTTTGTATTGGAATTGTTTTAACAGGCGGCAGAAATCCGTAGGCTCATTGGAATAGCGATGGATCCCTTCCAAGAAGTAAAGTTATGTAATGTTTGGTCCTTCAGTATGGCTGTGAATAATGGACGATCTCATCGCAGATAAATAAGAAATCTGAAGCAATAGAAATGATATTCTACGGAAGGTTAGACAGAATATGTGAACAGTGACGAATCTTTAGGCAAAAATGGAAATGAAAATGGTACCTTTTACATAACAGCAAAAAGGTACGGTTGAAAGTTTTAAGACACATAATGAGAAAAAAGATTTTTTGGGAATTAGTCACTCACAGGTCAAATTCAAGACAAGCAAGTTAGAAGAAAGCAACAAATAATCTTCCTAAAGTGGTTGAGGAAATCGTTGACAAGGAATGATAGAAAGGTTTAAACCTTTCTAAGAGCTACACAAGAATGGATGTTGCGAAGAACCATAATCGCCAACGTCCTGAAGGGATATAGCACATCGAAGAAGTCTTCCAAGTTTTAGGATTCGTTCCAGAATATATTAAAACCCTGTTTTAGTCTACATGTCTAATCAAGTAAAATGTTGTAACATTGAACGATTCCGTTTTGCCACCTGAGGCCACCATTCAATTATTTATTCAGCTAGCGTATTTTAAGCCTCTTTGGTCACCCACCTCCATCGTAAAATCTTTGTTCATGGTGACATTCAAGCCAGAGTCATTATGCTTCAAAAACAAAACTGCTCTCTATTAATCACCACAGAGATCCTTCCCTGCCCTCCATTAGAATGTCTGATGCTCAACTTCTCCAGAGCACCTCTCTGCGGCTGCTCGGTCTCACGTTGACTGCTGACCTGAGATGGAACAAATACATTGAGTCAATTGCTTCGTCCACCGCAAGGAAAGTTGGCTCCCTGTGCCGCGCGCCAGGAAATTTTTTCTCCCCGGAATCGATCCTCCAGATCTACAAATCAACAATTCGCCCTTGCATGGAGTATTGCTGCCATATATGGTCTGGAGCCCTTCTGTTTGCCTCTGGGTTCTTGATAGGCTCCAGAGGCGGATATGCAATATAATTGGCCCTGTTCTGGCATCTCGTCTACAGTCACTTTCTCACAGACGCGCCGTCGCCTCTCTCTGTCTGTTTTACAAATACTTTCATGGAAATTGCTCCGAGGAGCTGCATTCGCTGGTTCCCAGACTTCATGAGTTCAAGCGCCCTACGAGGCTGGCATCCCGCTCTCACCCCTTCACTGTCGAAACTCCTAAATGTAGCCGTCTCTTCTACTCCAATAGCTTCATGTCTCGCACCTCTCGCCTGTGGAACTCCTTCCCTATTCCAGTTTCCCTGAGAGCTATAATCTCCAGCTATTCAAATGTAATGTCAATCGACATCTCCAGTTGCCTTGATCTATCCACTACCCTTCTCCTCATCCTTTCTTCTATCACTCCCCTATCTGATCTTGCTCCAAATTTTCTGTAACCCCTTGCGTCCTAGTGGCTTCCCTGCCTTGCTTGGGGTGAAAAAAAAAAAAAAAAAAAAAAAAAAATATAATTTAAACTTTTACATTAAATTTTGCAATCCGTTTTAAAATAATTGCTATTCATTTTTCCGTGTCATTCATGTCACATTGATAAAACAAATAAATCATGCTACATAATATTGTATTTATGTTTGGCCCAACTTTTTAATTATTAAAATATTTTTCCAGATTCAAAGTTTTCATTCAAAAAAATTTTTTTTTTTTTACAAGTTCAAAATTATGCCATTGTTTTCTTCAAAAATATTTACATTTAAATTTTTTTTTTTGGTTTAAATCTTTAAACAATTTTTAGGAAACTTACTTTTCTTTTTTCTAACAAAATTTGCAAAATCAGCAAAATTTTTGATTAAAAATAATAATTTTTTTAAATTAAAGTATTACTTATATGAAGTTTCAATTTTTATTTTTTTCAGAAAATTATTATTGAAGGTAACAATTTTATAGGTAATTTCTTTAATTTACATTTATATTTACTAAATAAATAAAGTCAATTATAACTCAGCGATATTATCATCTATCAAAAATATAGTTGATATTTACTAATGATCAATTTTTTTCAAAACAGGTAAATACCTTTTTTAACATTCTCACTTTTGGGACCTAAATTATGACATTTTATTCTCGTTAGAAAATGAAAAAAACATTTTTTTTTTGACAAAAAGATTTAAAAATTATTGTTTTTTTTTGAATCTACTGCAAATCAATTTATAACATCAATTATGAATTTTAAAAATGCATGAGGTATTTTAATATCAAAAATTTGTTAAGTGAAACATTCTTTTAACAATTTAAGGAAAATTTCGGAAATTTTGCAGCTGTGGAATATATTTTTAGGAAAACAATGAAATGACAAATTCAGTAAAATAATTCATTTCTCCATGTTATTTTGAATAAATATTTATGAAGATTTTTATATAATATAGAAATTATTGATTAATAAACGCTTTTAAATTCTGTTAATTTGTGAAAAATCAAAAATTACAATTTTTCTTTTGAGTTTCTAATTGTAATTTAACTATTCTTAATAACTACATTCTTTAAAAGCAGAAAAAAAAAATAATGCAAAGGTTATAAAAGGAAAACATCATTCATTAACATTTCCAATATATCATATAAATCTATTAGAATGAAAACAATTTTAATTTTTTATATTTATAACATTTCATTCATGCTCATATTATAATCAAATCTTTTACACTCTGGATAGTTTAAAGAGTTAGTTGTACATATGACAATGTATAAATTCTAAATATTTTTTAAACTGCATTTACGTTTAACATGTTTGTCGTATTACAGATGTATTTAGACAAAAAAATTATTATTAATCATGCCCATTTATTATTTAATGAGTTTTTTCAGAAAAATTTATAATGGATGTCAAATAATCTCAAAAATTTCTTAAGAAAATCATATAATACATAAATTTTTTTTAATTTGTTTTTCAGTTAATTTAGATTGT